TGTTACATGTATCGGTGCCATTTGTAACAAGGGACTCGAACAACGAGGCTAGACATATTCCACGAGTCATGTCAAACGGTGACGTCATATTCTTATCTGTAGAGCATGCGCAATAAGTACTATCGGTGTAGACTGGAATAACCAGAATTAGAGTAAAATCGGAAACGATTGAACGTAAATCTGTTTATATACATTCATATTACATTGTTATCATGTCAAACGGTGACGTCATATTCTTATCTGAAGAGCATGCGCAATAAATACTATCGGTGTAGACTGGAATAATCAGACGCTAGTGACTGCCATTCGATTCAGACCTCTTGGTTATTTCGCCGAACATAACTGACTTGAAATTAGAGTAAAAACGGAAACAATTGAATGTAAATCAGTTTATATACATTCATATTACATTATTATATGCGTTGCGGCCCATTTTTGCCAATTTCTAGGTCCCAAATATTAGCGATTTAGCTCATTTAAGTTAAAGAAACGTGGAATGACCTTGCATAAAGAGTATTCATTTCTCGGAGAATCTCGGGATGGACCGATGCATTGTTTATGTTGTGGAAATGGTGTATCGGAAATTTAATGCCCGTTAAACTAAAACAAATAACAGCGGTTACCAGGCAAGATAGGCCCAGATTTTGAAAGAGAGGGATAGAGAACAAGCTAAAGGTTCCACAACATATTTTACACAATTTGCGTACAGAGAGCGGCCATTTTGTCGGATAGTTTCGTTTCGATTTTCCGAAATTCCAATTCAACCTTCATTATGGCGGAATGGTGATATATTTAAACGGTTTTTAAAATCAGATACAAAATTATGACCCCTAGAGAAACCACAAGCTAAAAAAACGTGATTTTTCGTACAATTAGGGGCCATAAATGTGGAAGTTACGATCCGATATGCGCGAATATGGAGAGGACCCAAGACTTTTCGCTTATAAACACACATTTCAAGTTTAATTAAAATCGGATGAAAATTGTGACCTATAGAGGGTTCACAACCTTGTTATACCACATTTTTATTACAGTATTTGCGTTCGAGGGGCGCCATTTTGTCCGACAGTTTTGGTCCGATTTTCATGAAATTTGAACTCAACCAACATTATGGTGTAACCGTGAGATAATCGAACGTTTTTTTTTAAAATCGGATAAAAATTGTGACCTCCTGAGGGACCACAAGCTAAAAAGGCGATTTTTCGTACAATCAAGGTTCATGATTCAGGGCGTTACGATCCGATATGCGCAAATATTGAACAGAACCAAGATCTTTGCGTTATAAACCTGAATTTTAAGTTTCATCAAAATTAGATGAAAATCACAGGTATTTTTCCCAAATACAACTTAAAAGATTTATGTGGACACCACATGATTACATTCAAGTGGGAACTGAAAAAATAATGTATCTATACAAAACCAATGTATTTAGAAGACTTTCAACCATGTGGAAAACAGCTGTTTACTCGAACTTCTAACTCAAAAGTTAGAGAATAAACAAAATCGGCTAACGTCATCGACCTTGTTACGTGACCTGAATTGGGTAGCCTACAACACTACATCTTTCCCGTCATAGCGTAGCGTGTGTAATGGTTCTTGTAACAACATAAACAACCCGCTTATAGTTTTATAAGGCTAATCAAATTTATTATATTAACATTATACCCCCGTCAGACCGGGATGGCGTCCTTACTTCGCTGCTACGGCGATGGAAAATGGTTTTAGAGCGTGTTATGATCACCATAAGCGTGGTGGAAACGCCAGCTATCATGCTGTGGTCACCGTGGTCACCGTGGTCGCCGAGTCACGGCGTTTATTTTGAGCATGTTCAAAACAAACGCCAAGGTTCTGCGATCTAAACTGGAAAGCTATGAGAATACGAATTTTTTCAAGTTTGTAATTTTTGGGGACATTTTCGTCAGTTGTGTTCACGTTTGCCGGCGACCTTGTGCATTTTCTGGTCGCAGAAGCGCAGTAAGGACGCCACCCCGGTCTGACGGGGGCATTACAGAACTCTCAAGTGTTTATCTCAAACATACGACTTACTATTGGTTTAATATTATGCTACTATTACCGATTTGTCCACATTCCCGTGACTAACATTTAGGTACCGTACCGGTGTAGGCCTTCGTGCCGACACCCGCTATTGTTATTATTGAAAATGGCAGTGAGAAATGACAACTCACGTAAAGTAGGTCTTTTGTAGCTGGAGACTAGTAGTAGGAGGACATCTGAACTGGGATCTCAGCGATACATAAGGGGTTCAGGAAGAACCCAAGAATAATGTCATCACAGACCGCTCACTTAATCGATTTCCGGCAAACACACCTCCATCATGTGTCCCGGAAAATTACTTAACAATTACTTCACTATAAATACCGTACGTTTCGCACCTTAGCCTATAATCATTACTGAAGAAGGACACCACTTGTCCGAAACGTTTAAACCAATAAATCGGTTTATTTCAACCATGGAGTTCGTCTAATCTACATTGGTTACAGGGGTTGCATCTCGCTATATATCATGGTTGTTATTATTATTATTATTATTATGCGGCACTGTTGTTGTGCAGGAGGGTGTAAAAACAATTCCGAAAAGCGTACGGGCTAATCTTTTCATGATCTCCCAATATAAACAAACCTCTGTTAAAAACATGGATCGGTGAAAATGAAACGAGACCCTAGATTTTTTAATGTTAAATCTCAAACAAAAATATGTAGTGAACATTTTTTACCCAAGATTTTCATTCAACCTGATGAAAAAAAAAGAAAAAAAGATTGAAATCCGATGCTATACCACAAATGTTTGAATGGACAAAGGACTATTCCACGATACTCTAATGTGTTAACAAAATTGACCGCTAGACGAGTGGAAGAGGACGAAGCGAAGGATACGGCATCGGAGGAAGAGGGGGACAGTGTCACTGGTCACCTCGTATCTCGAAAACCCCATTTGATGATGACTTCTGCTTGGGGTAAGCAATTTGATCAGTTGATGCTTTGGGACACGAGAACTTTAGTTCTAATTAAGTGAGAGAGATGGAACTTGGTGTATAGTGTCATTACATCAATACCTTGACTAAGTGCGATAATGAGCATTTTCTGCTCAGGGTAAGCAGAGCGATAAGCAATTTGATTGGCCAAGACTTTGGAACACAATAACTCTCCTTCTAATTGAGCTAGAGCGTTAAAACTTGGTGTAGGTGTTTAGTAGCTTAATGCCTTGATGGAGTTCGAAGATGAGAATTTTCTGATAAGCAATTTGATTGGTTGGTGCTTTGGGACACGATAACTTTAGATCTAATTAAGTGAGAGTGAGAACACTTTGTGTATAGTTTTATCACATCAATATCTTGACTAATATCTGAGATCTGCTTAGGGTAAGCAGATCAATAATTAATTTGATTGGTCGAGACTTTGGAACACAATAACTCTCCCTCTAATTGAGGTAGATTGTTTAAACTTGGTGTAGGCGTTCATTAGGTGAATGCCTTGATGGAGGTCAATGATAAGCATTGTCCACTTACGGTAAGCTGAGATAAACAATCTGATTGGTTGATGCTTTGGAGTATGATAACTTAAGTTTTAATTAAGTGAGAGTGATGAATCTCCGCGTATAGATTCATTATATCATTACCATGACTAAGTTGGATGATGAGAATTTCCTGCTTAGGCTACGGAGCCATAAGCAACTTGATTAGCCAAGACTTCGGAACATAACAATGATAAACATTTCGAGCTAAAGCTAAGTAGAGCTAAGCAATTTCATTGGTCGATGCTTTAGAATAAGATAACATAAATTCTATCTGATAGAATAATTGATAATCAGTTTGATTGCTTGATACTTTTGAAAAAAATAAACGTGCAATTAATTAATGTGTCATCTATTTATTTTGGGATTTGGGCAAGGGACACCAGCCCTGCTGTTGGCTTGTTATATTTGTGTTTAGCAGTTCCACACTTTCTATAACAGCCTTAATTCACCCATCGTTCTTTGTATAAGCCTGATATTTTGATCATCTTTATGTAAATATGACAAATAGTCCAATCACTTAAAAAAAAGTATGATAAATTTATGGAATTCTATCTATCATTGATATTATACATAGTTGAAATAATTCATGTTTATAGAATTATAGTGTCAAACCCTCATTTGAATAATGTTATCTTTGGTCAAAATATTGACTTCTAAGCTACTGATTGTAAGATCTGTCTCAAAATCAGGATGCAACTAAATTATGATGTTTCTGAGTGAGAGATATCTCAAAGAGCTAATGAAAAGGAACTGGTGATTAAAACTGGTTAATAACAAGTAAACGTCTCATTGGAACTTTGATCATCTGAAGCTCTGAGTAATTTTCAAAGAAATACAAACTTTTAGCCCGGCTGCCGACCACGCGTATTTACACCATACAAAACCGTAAGTATTCGCGTGTATTCATTCAGATTATATGGGATACGGGTCACTTTCTTGTACACACGAACATTAATCGGCATCGATTCTCTCTTGTTCTTACATCAGTTCTTTTATCTCTCAAGAGAGTAGTTTTTCACCCATTACATATTATCATAAAATATATGTTTTGGATGAAAATTCGTCATGATATTTCGAATCCAATAAATATCAGAGACGCGAGTAGCCACTGATCTTTTAAAGTAAATAAAACCCCGACCAGAATGCAAAATATACATCTACAAAAATTCAACATGTTTTCCTTCCAGCAAAATATGGAGGTGTAGCAAGAAACATATTGACACCGTAAGGTATTCGATTATATTTTTAGTTTGGAACAGTCTGGATTTTTCAAGCCCTCTTTTGTACACTTGCAGGGTTGTAAAGAAAGGTGCGTCTAGATTGGCCTTCATGTAGAAGATCACGTAGTTGGCAAATTGGAAATTGAAGAAGAGTTTGATTACAGAATACAAATTACATGCTAGGCCTCAAAATGCGACGTAAAACCCCGTTCGATTTTCCATGTTTTAAAAACAGCTGACTACCTATTTTACTGTTTCAATACATTTTTATTAAATCAGGGTCATTTAATCTATATAAATACACAAATATCTGTTTATTTTTCATTTCTTTTAATCTACGTTGTTGAAATATGTTTATAAGTAAGAGAACTTGAAAATTTTCCTCTTTTCAATAGTTCTGTCCATTTATTAATCTCGCGGTTGAGGACGACGTATACACTGACCACCTAAGAAACTGCTACATTTAACGGCCTTAGGATTACAGCATGGTCGGAACATATTACACTCTCCATTTAGTTCTGAACATTTACGTTTAAAGACGTTCAACATTGCTCGTTTCTCCAGGTTTTCGCTAAAACACAATCAAACAAAAATGAGTTTAATATTATAAAGGAAACTATTATATCTATTGCTGCACATATTGCAGTCTATCGTATCATAATGTAATTACAGACGCTAGACAAAAAGAAGATTCTGCATAAACTGAAAACTCCACAAATTTATTTGTTTACAAATTCACATGGTTTCAGATGTAACCGTAACTCAATAAATATAAAAAAAGCTAAAAATACAATTGTAAAGTTGGATTGATTTGTTTATGTGGAAAGGGACTTATGTCCATTTGGCAACCGTTCAATTTATGTTCAAGCCCCTCTCCTCTGGAAAAAAGCCCATTACCTCAAAATATTGGAACCTGTTCATTGTTGGCGTTATTTAAGACAAATTTGAAAACGCACTTGTTCTTCGAGGGTTTTCCTCGGTAGAACATCATTCATTTTAATTTATGCATAACAGTGAATTTTCAAATTATATTTTGTCATTAGTAATGATAGTTTATGCATTAGTGAATTTTATCAGATTTGAAGTTGATTCCATTGTTTACATTAAAATGTCTTGTTTTTATTTTATTTTATTTTATTTGTAAATTTAATGTTTTTGTACCGTATTTTGTAAATCGCGCGTGAGCACTTAATCATGGAAGTTGTGCGTTATAAAAATGTACAATATTAATAACAAAGTGGCTATTGTTACGACGAGTCTGAACCAAGCTTAGAACGAATTCCAAAATGGCTGCCAATCTCCCCTACACCAGCTTTGAAAAAGGAGCAGTATTTTCAACGTTTTCAGAACTGAAGGCAGCAATTAAGAGATGGGAAGGGTTAGGACTATTTTTACGACTATTCAGTTTTTAACTTCGCCGATTGAGGGCTGTGAAAGCATCGTCGTAACAATAGCCTGAGGACTATTTTTACGACTCGTCGTAACAATAGCCACTGCCTATTAATAATTTTAGTGAAATAAGTGAACGGAAACGCGGACTTGATCTGTAACTCAGCTAAAATCAGCAGTGTACAAAATTTTAATCAATTATCTCAAAGTTTCATTTAAAAAATAATGGTTTATAGAAAACAGAATTTTCATTAATATTAAGCCAGTCAGCAAAGGGCCGTAAATTAGTCCAAAAATAATGGAATTTCACGAAATGTGAACCTGATCTGGTGTATAGCACCCCGCCCCCCCCCCCCCCCTTGCGCGGTATGGGACTATTAACCCACCTGATAAGCCCAAATTATAACACTCGATTTTCAACTTCAATAAACGGAACCTTTTAAGATACGCTTCGCTCATATGCTAAACTGAAACCCTCGAACAGAGTTAAAAGGGATCATCAAAATTATTGCTATAAAATTCGGTTGAAATCCTGAATGTTGTTTAACTGCCCGCGTGTCCACAACCCCCTTGAATCTTCAATAAGCCGGGGTAACTTGATTTGAATTAATATGAACAGATACCACCATATATTGTATTTGGCTAAATGTTGAGTTCAAACAAATTTGGTGCATAGCTATTAGGAACTCTGAAATCAATATGATGTATGTGGGACGTAATAACAAAAACAACTTACTTGACATCTCTGTTCATTACTTGATCCTTGAAGGCTAAAGCAGATTTAACAAAATCCGTGTCAACTTCTATCCATGAAATAAAAAATGTATAAAAACTTAAACTAAGAACAATGAAAGCTTGCTTTTTGTATTATATTGTTAGAATAAATCCTGCTTGAAAGCAACGCGATGTATGTACCTTCACCGTTATGGTTAATAATTTCTGTGAATTTTTTTTTTATCATAATTTTTTTTACACAACTAAAACAAAACAATGACATTGGCATAAAATTTAAACATTTGTTATATTTAGATATATTTTTTTCTGTTGTTTTTTTTTAAAATTAGAACTTGTACCGGAAGTGAATCGCAAATAAGTCTTAAGACGATGGCACACTATTGTGACTCTTCTGGAAATACCCGATGTGACATGAACTTCTAATGGAAAACTATGACTTTCAAATGACAATTACAAAAGCAACTCACCTACGGCATAAGCCGCTACGATCACAACACAAAATGCAACTAATATAGTTTTCATCATGATGATAGATATGATCGTCTGTCAAAAAGTTAGTTGATTTAAAAGAATTCGCCGTATTTATAGCCAATTGCATGGAAAATAGATAACAATTTACAACCAAAACAGATCAATCATCTTTGGATTGCCCATTTATCCAATCTGTTATTTATTTCCTAAAATGAAATTATACGGGTCATGCAAATGAGGATATTGGTTAAACGATGTTGTTAAGATGTCATTATGTGGGTTTGGTTGTTTGTTCGGGACATCTCCGCAACTGCTGACATATTCACCATACTTACATGGTATTTCAGATTTATGAATTACTTATGCACCTGTATATTATAAACAGATATTTTAGTCTTCGATTTCTCCAGGTCAATAGCTAAGAGCCAAATGAAATGCAGTTTAATGCCCTGTTTTTCGTGCACTGCCAGGCAACAATTTTTACGGTCTTTAGAATAAAGGGCGGCTTGGACAGTCGCAAACGTTGTTTCCTGCACTATTGTACAGCAGAATGACAGGCATCGAAAATATACTTACACACAACTGGCATCTTTACGTGTTTGTTCGTCGGTTTGTGACTCTACAGGTCACATTTTTTTTCCCGATATCGACGAACCTTGAAATATAGGTCTATCTCCCAAAGATCCCTGTTCCTTTCAATATTGGCGTGTATCGGACCATAACATCATACATTATGGCCCCTGATTGTACGAAAAATCAGGTTTTTAGCTTGTGGACACTCAAGAGGTCACAATTATCATCCGATTTTGATAAAAACTTAATATGCATGTTTATAACTAACAGATCATGGTTCGTGTCGATATTCGCGCATATCGGATCGAAACTTCCTGAATTATGGCCCCTGATTTTACGAAAAATCGCGTTTTTAGCCTGTGGTCCCTCTAGCGGTCACAATTATTATCTGTTACACCCTAATGATGATTGAGGTCGGATTTCGTGAAAATCGGAACAAAACTGCCGGGCAGCCACCCCTCGTAAACAAATAGTGTAAAAATATGGTATATCAAGGTTGTGGACCCTCTAGAGGCCACAATTATGATCCGATTTTAACGAAACCTGAAAAATATGTTTATAAGGATCTTATCCGATTTTAAAAATCTGTTTAATTATATCACCATTCCACCATAATGAAGATTGAATTCGAATTTCGGAAAAATCGAAACTAAACTGCCCGACAAAATGGCATCTCTTTGTACGAAAATTATGTAAAAGTATGTAATACGAAGATTGTGGACCCTCTAGAGGTCAAAATGTTTATCCGATTTTGGTAAAACTTATAATAAATTATATCTTTATATCTCAAAGAGTCCCTTTTGATATTTGCGCATTTCAGACCATAACTTTCTAGATTATGACCTTTGGTTGTACGAAAAAACGCTTTTGTTTTTAGCTTGTTCTCTATCCATCTCTAAAATGTGGGCGTATATTCTCTGCTTTTTAATGCATAGATTTCATACAGGAAAACGACCTGTCTCGCACCATTGGTATCTCCTACAGTTTTGATCTCTGACTTGGTTTTCTATTTTGTGAAGGGTTTTGTGAAGTTCCGATTCATCGGTCATATTCAATGGATTGGAACCCAACTTCATAAGAAATACCCTGACCTTGTGAAAATGCAGGAAAGGATTTCTGAAAAGATATAAGTAAGAAGACTATATTATCGTCTTGAACGTAATGTGTAACAAATTTTCTCAAAAAAGAGGAGGTGTATGGTCGAATGGTTTGCATGCGCGCGCTGTATCATAAGGTATGTCATTGAATCAACTGGAGTGGTTTCGATTCCCCGATTGTACGTGACAAGGTGTAGTGTCGTGTGTCCACCCTCGTGGGTTTTCTCCGGGTCCTCCGGTTTCCTCCCACTGCTAAAGAAATAAAATTGAACCATGTTAGCCCCGAAATGATCTAGTTTGTGTTGAGTGGACGATAAACCTCATTTCTCTCTCTCTCCTTTTCAAAATGTTCCGTATTCCCACATAACTTTTCTTCAATATTTAAAGTATAGTAGACGCGATTCCGTTCATGGGTTGATGCCAGCAACTGAGGAAGGAAATAAGCCCCAATTCGAATCTGGACGAAACATATGTTTATAAACAAAACTATCAAGGACCGTGGCGCACGATATAATACCGCGCGTTTAGCACCCACCCCACCCAATTATTAAATATAAAAAGATAAAGCTTTTGTACTCTAATCGATAAATAGGTTTCCCAACCTTTTACAACATACATGTAGATATCCTCCCACAGTCTTATATAACAACTTTTGGTCTTATCAGTAAGCAGAAATTCGCCCGCGCATCTGTTATCGTTCCTTACTTCAGTCAGTTATATATAAGGATAACTCGTGTTTCCCTTTCGTTACTTCAAATCTTCGTTGTACATCTATCGTAGCAGTGATCTTTGTGTTAAAATTGTATTTGGAGCGTGTTTAATCAGTTCTATATGTGATAATGGCTGATACCAATATTGTCCTTTAAAACAGGGTTGGTTCGATGGGTAAGACATTGGTTCGCTAACCTAGAGGTCGCGTGTTTGATGCCTGCATTAGCCGATAAAGTTCATCGGGATTTTCTGGCGTGGTTTCTCCCTTGTCAGTGGTGCAGGACAGAGGGCCTATTATGGGACAACGTTTAGTCGGTGGGATGGCACGAGGCCCCATGTACACATTGGCGTGCACGTAAAAAATCCCTTGGGAGTTGGAATTCGATATCAGAGTAGGCCGTAGTGCCACTGTCCAGGCAAAATGTCCCCCAAAGCACACTGTGTGGCGTATGCCCGTCTTTATTAGCCCAGTCAGAGCAGAGCCTTAAAACTCATTTCATTGCACTTTTGCAATCAAAACAAAGCGCTACCCTATGGATCGTATGAGTTTGGTAACGAAAAATATCAAGGCAATTACATTAAAGATTAACTTTGAAACAATTGATTGCCAGTGTACTAAATTTTATTCACATTGATTACTCGGATATTCGTAAATAATGCTTATCACATGATCATCATCTCCCCTTGACTGTGAATTTCCTGTATCTGTATATATTATTTTATAAATTAGTTAATAGCCCTGTCAATTATGCAGGTTCGTGGCTATATTTTATAAATAAACACACTTTATTGGGAAGTATTTGCTGGTAGCTATGTGCTACGGTTATCAGTCCATTTTCAAAGTTTATGATTCCCACAAAAAAGGTCACCGCTTTACGATAATTTCCATATTTATTTAATTCACGTACCGGTTATAAGTTCATGTCAATAATATTCCCGAATAAATTCCGTTTTCGTTAATTCGACAGCGAAATATTTGTGATAAGAACAGTTCAGAATGTCTAAATATTGTTTGTTGTTTTTTTTATAGAAATGTATTGTTTTAAAAAACCGAATTGTCAAAAGAGGCATCCCAGACAGCGCGTATTATTGGGTCTTGTTTTTTTGTATTCACACCGTGCGAAAAACTCGTGCGTAAACTCTATACGGTAATGGCTGAGGCATGGTCGCGATGTAGGCTATGCCATCGGAAATTTCCATATCCGCCATGCATTTCAAAATGGAGCCGTAATCTTCACAAAGTGAAAAGTTAACTTAACGGGTGATTAATAGTTAATATTGAGAGTGCAATCATATGGATATATATAGCCCCTTGAATTTCAAAATAAAGCCAGGATTTTCGTAATTTTAATTGTGTTACGGAGACGCACGATTATAATATACAGATCTTGCATAATTGAGAATTTTCATCAGTGCATGTAATTCATCAGTGCATGTAATGCACACCATGAAATTAGAATTTCATGATCAAACCGATATAAGATATAATTGTGTATATTCACGACCGTCGTGCATACGAAAGCCTTTTTAAAGTACGAGATCTCGCGCGAACTTACGCGATCTCTCGAAGACCTTCATTATTCACTGAGGAAGAAGTGAAACAAACGCTGTATTCAGTTCAAATAAAAGTTGTTTAATAACAATCCTGTTACAACTTATAAACATACAAAACATTCCAAAACCCATAGAATGCGCGAGTTAAAATTAAATTGTGAACGCGACATCTGTAACTACTTAACTGTTCTTTCATCAACTCTCAATTCTTTCCAGAGGTTACTTTACCTGCAACAACAAAACATTCGAAACATTAGGCGCCTTCCTAACCAAATCTGTCAAAATCTTAGTTGTATTGATAATCTAGGGAGGGAACCCAGGGTGGGAATTATATCTTATTTCGGTTTGATCATGATATTCTAATTTCATGGTGTACATTACATGCACTGATGAAATTCTCAATTTCATTTCACAAACCTCCATAAGATATAATTGTGTATGTTTAAAGCTCAAGACAATACAACTTTTTGGAAAGTACTTGGCTTTGAGACTTCCCTAAGATAATGCCTTCTAAAGGTTGTAGCTCTAGTCCACCCTGCCATCTCCAAAATCTCCTTACAGGAAAGGCCTTTAGCCAATGCTTTTGATGTTGAAGCGCCTCTCACCGAATGTGCCTTAAATTCGTTCGTGTCAATGCCTGCTAGCTGTAAAATCTTAATCAGCCAGCCAGCAATGGTACATGAAACCACCGGTTTATGTGGTTCAACGTAACTCAATAAAAGCTGATGTCTTAAAGAATCAGATCGATTTCTCCAAACAGCCGTTCGATTAAGATAGTCCCGTAGAATCCGAACAGCACATAAGTTCGGTTCTTCCGGGAACTCCTGCAATTCAACGGACAGGGGAGCCTGGCCAATCCTACGTGTTTTGGTAAGTCTACTTAATTTAAAAGTGATATTATCTCCTTCGTCGGTCATAAACCTAATGTCTAGTGCACATAGCTCTGAAGTACGCCCGGCGGATACTAAAGCCAACACTATGACAGTTTTCAAAGTGAGCATCTTATCCGACAGGACCGAATTAGCACCCAGATCTTCCGGGAACTCCTGCAATTCAACGGACAGGGGAGCCTGGCCAATCCTACGTGTTTTGGTAAGTCTACTTAATTTAAAAGTGATATTATCTCCTTGGTCGGTCATAAACCTAATGTCTAGTGCACATAGCTCTGAAGTACGCCCGGCGGATACTAAAGCCAACAATGTGGCAGTTTTCAAAGTGA